GGTCTTTTATTGATTCTCCTGCCTTAGGCAATATTTATCTTGAAGTGCCACATACAGATTGCTTATCCATCCCTCTGGTGCTTTAATATTTCCTCCAGGGAGAAATTCCGTGCTGATCTGCTAATGACAAAAGCAGTGATCATAGTGTGTTACTTTAGGAGACATTTTGCTTGATGGGCAAAATCCCATGAAGATGACAGTTAGGATAAAATAGAAAACTTGTTTATCACTAGCAAAAAGAGAAAGAAATACATAGTGATGATGAATCAGATATAACTGACCAATATAGAATAAGCAAAAATAATTAACCCTAAAATAATTGGCAGCAATATTATATCCATTAAGCTGGTATATATAACATACCTAGAATCTAATAAAACACCCTGGGGGCAGACCTAGGTGGTTCAAAAAATGCTTACGGAAAATGGATTGTGTATTTCAACATGTACATCCAACATGGCCAGCATTTTTTTCTCTAGTTCTTTCACATTCTCTTTCACACTCCCATTTGGTGGGTTAAAGAATAGGGGGTAAAATAGGTAATTTACCCAAATCATACCACCTGAATAAATGAGTGAAAAGCACAAAAAATGAGCTCATCACTGAATTATGACACTGTTTCGGTTACTCCATGTTCTCAGTTAAGGCATCAAAACAAAGGCTGATGAATGACAGGGAGCAGAGCTCTTACCTTCAGGAGTCTTACTTATGATAGAAGAAATCCCTCATCCCTCAACTTGGTAGTCAGAATTTTTAAATGGTACTTGTCTTCCTGCAAAATTAGGGCCACAGAATGCCAAGTCAAAAAACCACTGTCAGTGTCTCCAGACTATGTCATGGAGTGAGGATTCCTGGGCTCAAATTCTGATTGCTCCACAAACAAGTTCTGACTTCTGACAATATGACAATCCATTTTCTCTCTGTGTGTCTCTGTCTCCTCAACTGTCGAGCAACAGAACAACCTGTGATGTCTGTGGCCCCATACAGCAATGAGTCAATGGTTTTATAAATATTCTCTTCTTATCTTTGAATGATGGGACAATCACGTTGAATCAGGTTTAAAGGTAGCTGGGGGAAAGAGTCAGTCTTAGAAAAAGTCAGAGTTGAAACAAAAACAGATGATTTAACAATAACTAAAGCCTGACCCAAGATGGAATACTTTTCTCAGGGAGGAGATAGAAGAATCAGTTTGGTAAGGTTGGAACTTGGCGACTGACCCATGAGGGATGGGTGTGAGGGGGCTCTCTTTGGATCTCAAACTGACCTTCACACTCGAAGGGTTTGTTGGTATCACCTGGGATAGACTGGGACTCTCATGGAGCACACACTGCAATTCTGCAGAGGGGTGTGCTCGTTAAGAAAATCAAAGACAGTGGTTCTACCATTTTAGATTTAAAAGATAAAGGTGAAGCTCTTCACCTCAGAAACTAATTTCCTCCATTCCACTTCTCTCCCACCTTTCCCCTCTGCCCTCTTCCTCTGGGGTCATCTTCCAAAAGATGAGTGTATCCTTCGAGCGAGTAAGATTGAGCCTGCACGTGAACATACCAAGACAGCCCTGTTCATCACCTCCTCCATTATGCTGGTGCTTCTGCTCGGGGCAGCTGTGATCGTCTGGAGGAAATCTCGGGGCAGAGTTAGGCCAACAGAAAAGGTCGGCTATGAAAAGTTGGCTGACCCGAGCAAGACTTATTCTTCCTATAAGAGCAGCCATCACCAGAGCACCAGCTTTGAAGAGGATCAGGTGATCGAGTACAGGGACCGGGACTATGATGAGGACGATGACGATGACATCGTCTACATGGGCCAAGATGGCACAGTCTACCGGAAATTCAAGTATGGACTGCTGGAGGATGACGACGAAGATGAGCTGGAATATGATGATGAGAGCTACTCCTACCAGTAACCAGAAGCCCTACCCCCACCCCCCACCCCACTCCACTCGCAGGCATGTGTGTGAGCTTGGGGCTTTATCCCTACACACCAGGCTGATGTGTGGGTGTTTGTATTTGTCTTCTTAACCCTGAGTCCAGCTAGAGTATGTAAGAATCATGAAATGTTCTGTTCTTCTTTTGGATGGCTAAACTCAATTAACCATAATTGTTTACCCATAATTGAGGAACACGGATAAAATTCAGAAGGATTTTCCTTAACACCATATATCAAGAAACAGAACACGGAAAGTTAAAAAAGTGAGATTTGTGCAAACTGTTCTATGTGATTTAAATAAAAGGAAATGGACCTAGAGTAATTCTATTTCTCAGCTGTATTATGGAGATAGCTGCTGCCTTCTCAATTTCTGGCATTTCTGTAAATGATTTGGTGGGGGAATAGGGAGGCAAACAAATTGTCTGTCTTAGGGGATTTTTCTCCCCTTTTAGTTCTCTTTACCCAGAGTTTTGTTCTGTAAGGGGCAACTAAACAAGGCTCTCCTCTTTATCCCATTTATACCAATTGCTCCAGATCATCCCTGAGGAGAAGAGACAGCTCTGCTGAGGCTGGTCATATTTATAGACATGAGGAAGGATACAGGAGGCAGCATCATAGCCAAGGAACTACATATCCACCAGGCTCTGGTTCTTCTGCACTAATGCATAGTCATGATGATTCTAGAGCAAGTTCAGGCAGCAGATAGGCAGCAGCAAGCCCAGTAGGAAAGAAATCACCAAGTTTCCAAGAATTGCAACATTACACCCTCATGCTTTTTCTAAGAGCTCTTCTGGTTGGAAACATCAGCTAAAACATGAAGTAATGAAAGAAAAATGGCAATGTGAACCTAACGAAAAATGGGATACGATGACCAAGACTTCATCCACTCTGAAAAAAAAAAGACTAGCTACTAAATTAAAAAGCTTTCATCAATAGCTCGTCACAGAACTGTGGACTCTCTACAGAAAAAGTTAGAGTGGAGCCTAACATGGAAATGCCCAGCATCCTGCTTGCCAGCTTAACCCAGCTGCTGACCAGCCTTCCAACACTCTTTACCTCTGTGGTCTCTGTTTCTAAACACCCTCGGCGTCCCTTTTTCCACCCGCCTGTTAAGTACACTCTTGGGTTTGTGCACCAGGGACCGTTTTTCTGCAGGTAATATGGAGAAGGGCTCTTGCTAAGTGAATACGTAAGCAGGGTTGTATGGATTTCCTTGTCAAAACAGAAGTGACAGGCAGCACTGGGAGCGGACCACCAGATGGTGATATTTTCAGACGATGATGATAATCACCGAAACAATGTATTGCACACTGACTATGTACTAGGTACCGAGCTAAATAATTCCTTTAGAAAACTCACCCCTTAATACCACTATCACTTCATAAGGTTGGTACCATTATTACTCTTTTTCTTTTTAAATAGGAAACCCCAGGCTTACAATAGGTTAAGTAACTAGCCCAAGGTCATAGAAAGCTATTCAAGATCCAAGGAAAAAGGATGACTCTAAAGTGTATGTTCATAATAACTATGCTACCCTGACACAAAGTGGAAAAGGAAGCACCCTCAATCTAATAAAGGCATGTCTAGTATTTTATTTTATGATAAGCAATTCTATTATCTTCCCTAAATGCTTTTTTTAATAGAGGTACTGGGGATTGAACCCAGGACCCCGCGCAAGCCAACCACACACTCTACCACTTAGGTACAACCCCACTTACATCTTTCCTAAATGTGTTGATTTTCTTTTCTTTTTTTTTTTTAAAAAACATAATGCATCACTGACATGGGAAATCTCTGTCAAGAAGTCTTCAGTTTACTGAAGGCCTCAGTGTTTCTTTAGGGGAAAGCTCTTAAAACAAAGGTTGGCAAACTTTCTCCGGAAAGAGCCAGGTAGTAAATGCTTGAGGCTTTGCACAAGTCACAGTTCTTGGGGCCCGAATGCAGCCAGTCCACAACAAATGCTTGGGCTGTGCTCCAAGAAAACTTATTTATGGACATTAAAATTTGGATTTAAGGTAATTTTCACATATCGTAAAATATAATTCTTTTTGTTTTTTCTTCAGTCACTTCAAAATGTAAAAACCACTCTTGGCTCAAGGCAGTACAGAAACAGGTGATGGATCAGATTTGGCCAAATGACTGTAATTTGCTGACTTCATCTTAAAAAAAAAATCTTAAGAGACCATGTGTATCACACACACATATGATATGCTTCCAAAAATTTTGATGACTTAAAATCACCTCTTCAAAATCTACCAGAACCCTTTATAGTTCCCTTCTCAATTCTTAGAAACAAATAAAAATAAATATAAGCTAGCCATCTTATCAATGGAAGAATTCCTCATCTCTTACTGAGTAATTGGAGTGTAACCTATGGGAATAAGTCATTTTGTTTATACTGTGTTGTTCATATTCCCTGATAGTTCGAAAGCTCTGATAGCCTGAGTTTGATACTGCTTTGTGTAGCCTCATTTTCCAAGAAAAATCTGTGTTTGTGATACACAGATTAAATGAGATTTAATACACAGATTTAAAGATTAAATGAGGTCAAGATGACCCTGAATACTAAGAAAACCCGGTGTTGTCACTCCATGTGATCCTGAAAAGAGGGCCTCTGCTGGGTGTGGGTAGTCGGACGTCCCTCCCTCTCCGTTCTCAGGTAGGCCACATTATTCTCAGACCTCTCTTGAACACTATGCTCACAACTGTCTGAATCGATAAATATGTGATTGGAAAACAAAGTTGCTTTTTGGTTTTCTGTTTGCAAATAACTTTGAACTATTAAGGGAATCCTTATAGACTGGAAAAACACCAAGGGGCTAAGCAAGAGCTTGGAAGGTTCTGGTCTATAGAAAGTAATTTTAAAATTGAAAATAAAGTTAAATCAAGACCAGATAATGCTATGGGGACTTGCTTACTAATAAACTACTTCTGAGCACTTTTTATGTGCTTAGTTTGTGCTTTACCCAGTAAGAGACACAAAGCAATAAAAGAGTGCTTTTCCCCCCTCGTCTTTCTACCTCCAATGACTAAGCTAGTCATATAATCATGAACTTTTTTCCTAAAAATAAGTCCCATCTGTCTGTCAGCCCCATCATCACAGACTCGATTTGGCCCTCAGCTGCTCTCATCTGGTCCTTTAATACTTCTTTCTGAATTATTGCTGAGCTTCGATCTCCTTTTCCTCCCAATTTATCTACCCTGCAATCAAAGGTCACTTCTAAGATCAATCAGATCATCACATGCAGCGCTCCCCATCACCTACACTAATTATGACATTCAAAACTTGGCAAGATAGGGCCACTGCCTCTGTCTCCAGTCTTAACATCCACCAGTTCCTGGCCCCTCCTTATTTCCAGCTTCTCCACTTACACTCAGTAGTACTGAACTACTTCTAAGTTCTCCAGGATGATGTCCTGTTATCTCATATCCTTGGGCACACATTGTTCACACTCCTTGGAATACTGTTCCCCCAGCCTTGACCAACTGGTATAGGGTAAGCCAGTTTTTATTGCTGAAAAGTAAACTGTCACAAATTTAGCATCTTAAAATAACAAAACATGTATTATCTTACAGGTTTATAGGTCAGAAGCCCAGGTGGGCTTGACTGGGTTCTCTGCCTAGGGCCTAACAAGGTTAAAATCAAGGTATGGGCCAGGCTGGCTCTTACCTGGAGGCTCTGGAAAACAACTGTTTTCCCAGGTATTCAGGCTGCTGACAGAGTCCAGTTGCTTGTGGCTGTAGAACTGAGGGTCCTACTTTCTTTTCTAGCTGTTGGCCAGGGGTCACTCAGCTCCTAGGGGCCACTCTCTGGTCTTGTGCACACCTTCCTCCAAGGCCCCCTTCAAAGCCAACATCCATGCACTGAAACCTTCTCATGCTCTGAATCTTTCCAACTTTCCCTCTTGCCACCAGGTGGAGAAAACTGCATGGAAAGGGCTTGTGAGATTCACTTAGGCCCACGTGGAGGATCTCCCTCTGGCTGTGATGTGACATAGTCATAGGCATGACAGTCTCCTCATGTTCCAGGTCCTGGGGATTAGAGTGGGAAATCTTGACGGTTTATTTTAGGATTCCCCTTACCATAGCCAATAAAACTCTTTTGGAAATCAATTTAGCAAAATATATCAAGTCTTTTCAATGTGTGTTCTCTTTGAATTCACCAATTCCTTGCTAGGAAATAATATAAACAGAACCAGAGCATTAAAAATAATCATCTTTGTTTATAATTTAAAATCACAACACTCTAAAAGCAAGTTTACAAAGACTGTACAAAATATGCTATAATAGATATGATAAGCAAGATATAAAAGTTTATGTACACTACCATTTCAAGTGTATTTCTGAAATTAAAAAACCTATGTGGATTATGCAAGCTGAACTGTAGAAAGCAAAGATAAACAACAGCCCCCAAAGAGCTGAATATTGAAGTCGAAAAACAAAGATGTATAAAAATAATCACAAAACAAGGGAGACTACAAGCAGTGCAATAAATTCAGGGGAAAAAAGCAATGAAATCATTGGAACACAGAGACAGAAAAAGCAAGCCGAGGCATATACATACCTTTTGGGTGAGGAATCCTGAGGGAAATGTTCAGGAATAAAAGGACCCACAGAGCTCAGTAACAGTGGACAGTAAATCTGTAAAATGACAAGCACTTTTCACATGAACTTGAAATCACAGGTCAATTTCAACTACATGTGATAAAGAGTATTTGTCCTCCAGCCAAGCTGGGCCCCTTGAAGTCTGCAGAGGAAAGGCGAACGTAGCAAGCAGAGTGTCTTTGCTGGACCCTACCTTCTCTTTCTACATCACTTCCCCCTTCTGTGCATTGTTTCTCAAGGCACCAGTGAACCTACGGGGGGACGTTCCACAAATGTCAAGATGTTGGCTCAAGTGCCAGTTTGACTAACTATACCCTCACTTTGGTTTCAATAATTACATCTCATTCTGTCTTGTGTCAGCTATTCCTAAGTATCAAGCTCTTTTTTTAATCTTGGTGGATGATGCCCTTATTAGATTTACCATTCCTGCATTTATTTTTATAAAGATGACTTGGCATAACAGAAATATCGTGAGTTTAGGGATGAAAGATTCCTGAGATGGAATTCCAATCCTGAATCTTTCTTGTGTGGAGTCTTGGCCAAGTTACTAAATTTCTCTGATTCTCAACACGGGAAACTTGAATGCCAACACTCCTGAGGTTGCCATGAGGAACAAAGGAGATTACATATGCAATGGGCACGGTGTACAGAAGGGGCTCTGAGAGTGCTAACTTCCCCCTACTTCCTCCCGCATCCTTTTAGTAGCAGTGAAAACTCGTTAACAGCCTTCCCTCCCATGAACCTGTATTTTGAAAGGATTTGTGAAGCAAGATTATACAAGGGAGAGAAAAGTAGACTTACTTTGCTCTTTACGCTTAATCTGGAAGCAAAGACACACCCCCTCAGTCCTTGTTAACAAGGCCTCTTCTTCTCAGCAAAGCAAATATGCTGAAATGAGTGGTTTTAAGTAACCGGATCATTAACTGGCTTTTCTTACTTGATTTCTCAGCAGATAGAGAAAAACAGAAGATTGTTCTTTCAGAAACGCCTACAGTGATTTGCTCCAAAACCAGGAGAAAATAAAATCCATGCTTCACTGAAGGGATAGAAGTTTTGGTTAAAGGGCCATACATTCCATAAACACACTGGCCAAGTGCTCGACCTCTAAGGAAATCTGTTTACCTCCCCACGGCTTTTGGCTCTCTAAAAAGCAACTAGAGTTCCCCCTAGCAGAATACTTTCTTAATAGAAGTCCTGTTTACCTTGACTGTCGAAGAGAATCCATGCTTCTACAATAAAACCCTCCCTTCTCCCCCCGTCTTACAAAAACTCAAATGTTAGAGTTTGGCTATGAAGCCAAGGGTGATCTTGGTATGCTGAGAACACTGGGAAAGGAAGGACGTCAGCAACCCAGGCTTTCTCTAGGTCACTCTGACTTTGAATCCACGTAGAAAACCCCTTAGGATACAGGGTCAGAAAGTGGCCTGAGAGCAGAGGCAAGAAAGGGGACCTGTCTGAACTGTGGAGCTGAAAACTCAGGAAGACCTTCTTGGTCTCCTTTGGCCCCGAAGGCTGAGCTGAAGACCACATTGTAGGCATCGAGCTTTTCTCCACTCAGTGGCCGGGACTTTAGATGTCAGTTGGGCACGGGGGCTTTGCAGACAAGACGGGCAGAGGCAGGAGACCAGAAAGTCAGACAACCAGGTGGGAGCAAGTGAAAACCAAAGTCTAGGTGCTGCAAGATTTTCAAAAAGGTGGTACTTGGTCTGGGTTTTAGCAGCCCTTTCAGGGTACCTTGGGCAGTATTTTTAGTATTGATCTGTTCCTGGAACAAAGGAACCCAGAAACCTAATCAAATTGCTAATCAAGAAGTGACCGGGCAAAGCCAGAATCCTTGACAAAGAAGTCCAAATTTGTGATGCCTCTCCCTGGGCTCTGAGGGATTGTGAGGCATCTTTGTGACTAATGCTCCAGGATTATCCGAGGGTGTTTCTCTCTTTTTCTCTCTCTCTCTCCTTCTCTTGGCCTGGGATTGGAATTTTTATTCCCCATGATCCCTTTGGCCAAACTCCATGCTGAGTCCTTCACTGTGTTTGAAACGTCCTTTGCAGCACAGCTGTATAACATCTGCATGGTTTCTCTGTCCTGTTTTTCTGTTGATCTTCACTTTTAAAGAGCTGTTTGCTGTTTGCCTGTCAAATCAATTTCATCCCCTATAGGGGATTTCTGCTGGCCTTAAATAGACTTGCCTCCTAACGTTTGCTTGCGAGGACTGAAGGAGATAATGCGTGTGATCTGCAGTTCTGTTGTAAACGATAAGGTGCTACACCAGTGTTATCTCCCTGTTCACCTGTAGTCCATCCTAGGCAGGCATGCCGCTTATACTGTGGAAACTGGGAGAAATCAAACAATATTCTCAGGCCAAGCATCTAGGTGTGATTTCTCAGAGAACTAACTGGGTCAGTCAGAGGCAGCTACATAATTCGTGGGGCCTGGTGTAAAAATTATGAAGAATTTCAAGATGGTGGCAAATTTCAAGACAGTGGCAGCAGAGCTTTGAAACTAAGTAGGGCTCTTCTAAGCATCAGACCCTGTGCAAACGCCTGGGTGGCACAGCCATGAAGCCAGCCATGACTTCAACATATTCAGAGCAATGGAGGCTAGCTAGCAAAATGCATCAGCTGCTGCACCTACCTACACCCCCAAAACAGCTCAAAGACTTTCTATAAAGGTAGTAGCTTTAGGGAAAAGGGATGGAAAGCTCCGTAAGCTCTCCAAAACATGTAGACATAAGGAGAATGCTGAGGAAGATGTCAAGATATGGAGGAAAAATTTCTTGTAAGGATAAGAAGCTTCAACAAAAGACAACTAGTCTTCAAGTCAGAGTATCTCCGTGTCCTTCTTAGTGTGACACTGGCCAAGTCATGTGAGATGAAGTCAGGGGCTGTGCTTCGTGTACTGTAAACTTGAGACTGCGAAACAATTGAAGTATAAACTTTTACTGTTGCCATTTTTAAGGGCAGTTCTTAGTCCTTTTAGAAAAGACCCATACACGTTCCAACTCAGTCCCCACCATGTGCAGCTCCCCACTCACTCCAAGGCAACAGGTGGGGAGGGCTTCATGTTGTTCCAAATCTGTCTTTTTTTTCCCCCTTGTTTCTATTCCCTCCCTCTGGGCTAAAAACAAAAATATTTCATGTGTAATTTCATGTGTAACCTGTATGGAAGTCTTTATCCTGCTCTAAAGGGCAGGAGGGGGCGGGAAGAAGAACTGGGCAAACTCACCCCACCTGACCTTCCTCGGGTTGTGACATCAGAGCTCTGTTTACATAGTTGAAGGGCTGGGAATGTTGGAATGGAGGGAGGAGAATGATTCAGGAGGCTACACCACATCCCCTGCTTTTGTTTTCCTGCTGGCTTGTCAGCTGCTCTAAGCCACAAAGAGATGAAATATATGAAGTTCTTCTCCATCATTTGGCACCATCTGTTTCCTTTCTCATCCTTTCCTGAAAATTTTTTTCAATAAACACGATGAAATAGACAACAGAGGACGTCTACAAGAACACCTTCATCTTTCCTCAAGGGTAGATTTTTTTGGAGATTTTTGGCATCTGCAGAAAAGTCTCCTGTGCTGCTGTTCTGTCCTCCACATCCTGAAGGTACTGGGAAAATGAAGGGACAGGATGCTCCCCTCTTTACTGTGTCTGGGTGAGGCAGACAATTCATGATTCCTCTCACAGAAATGTGTTCACCACATATTTACTAGAGACCAGGCACCACAAGGGCTGACGAAGATCAAATCAAGTAAATTGAAATTTCTCCAGAAGACTGTTCCTCTAAGTCACAGACATTATCTTATTCCACCTTGTATCCTTAACACACAGCAGAGTGCTAACACACAATAGTTGCTCTGTAAATATTTGTGGAGTGTCTATTTGCCCACAGAAATCACTGTCACAGCTGAACAATACTAGACTCTCCGCATATAATCTGGGGGTTTGCTGTGTCCTTAAAGATACAATGTTATCTTTGGCCAGGAGAAGAAATAACCACATTACAAGAAGAATTAGCCTTTACCAAGTTCATAGTCTATTTTCAGGTACTATTAGAGGCACTTCACATGATCAACTTGTTTAATCCTTTTAACTGTCATAACAACCTGATGAGGCAGGCATTACTGTGGTCCTTGTTTTACAGATAAGACACTAAGCCACAGAAAGGTAAAAAAAACTTGCCCACGTTTGCACAGAAACTGGTCCCAGGGGCCTTGTTTCTAATCTCCCAGACTGCAGCTGCTTAATTCCTCCAGAACCAAGCACAAGGAGAGCAAATTAAAATGGACTTTCAAAATTTTTTTGACTGTAATCCATAATCAAAAAAAAATTTTTTTTTACACCAATACCTCTTTGTAAAACTGAAGCAAAGCTTTCAGGAAACAGAGGGGGAGAAGACCTAGCTCAGCGGTAGAACGCACGGTTAGCGCGCACAAGGCGGTCCTGGGTTCAATCCCCTGTACCTTTATTTAAACAAACAAACAAATAAACCTAATTACCTCCCCTCCAAAACAAACAAAAATTTTTAAAGTTTCAGGGAACAATCTTATCTAAATTACATTTCTTCCATCATTTTCTTCCTTCCTGCCTTTCTTTGCTGACCACAGTCCGTCAATTCGCTTTCACAATGCATCGGGTGAAACCCCTTGGGTTAGGGAATAGAATCCAGCTTACCCGGCTGACCTTGAGCTTGCTGTGCTTGAAGTGACTTCTCTGAATATTCTCTACTGGGGCAATTTAATTGCAATGTCTGTGGTGCTTCCAAGCCCCCTTTAGATTGTGAACTTCTGGAAATCCTTCCTCTGCCCGTCTTCTGTGTCACAGCACCTCTCTAGGCTGCCACCTTGGGTCTCTTTCGGATTTGGCTCAAGCCTTATCCTCATATCTGGTCCAAAGAAGCATGCACCTTTCCCCCTCTCTCTACCCCTCCACTGAGGATGAAAGGACCACCTTCTCTCTGCTCTGTTGTCTAAGGCCAATCCAGCTACAGCTTCTCATACAATTCTAATGTCCCACCTCCCAACTGAGGGCACACAAGCTCTCTGATGGATACACTTGAAAAGAATACAGAGTACATGGATATTTATCTCCAAAGAAATTCTCCCTCTCCCCTCTTAAACTCCACATCTCTATAGGTGGGGGGGGGGTTGGGCAGAACAGTTTCACACTCTCTTAGCAGGAACTGGATTTTCTAGGATTTAGTATTGGAATATGGGGGATTTAGGAACACCTATTACAGAGATTTTTTCCTTGGCAGGCTTTTCCAAAAGTATAAAGGAGAGAAAAGCCCTGTATTCACATCATTTTACAGATGGATGGGCTACAATTAAGTGGAGAGAAAGAGAAGAGAATGAGCAAAGGCTTGGCATCTGGAATAAGCAATCAGAGTTTGGGGCTTACTAGAGGACGTGGCCTTGCTGTGGAGGGTCCATGTATGATGAAACTTTACAGGGAACAAGAGATGGAATCACAGCAGGTGGCCCACGGAGCTTGCCAGGGCCTTTTGGCATCAGCTGATTGCCCCGGTCCAGTCTGTGAACTGAATCCTTGGTACATCCCAGTTCCTCCAGGCTCAGAGACCTTGTTTCTGTCCACAGCATGTCAATGTGATAAAGATTGATGTGTTTGTGAACTTTCTGCTTTTTTGCTACCTCAACTAAAAGTTTGATCTCAGCTTTGCTAACTCTATCCTGTGCCTGAAACACTCCAGCCAGTAGACGCAAAAGCCAACTGAAGGGTGAGCTACCATGTCCTTCCAAAGCTGCTAACTGGTGGGCCTGGGGATCAACATCGCCCACTACTCCACCATCCATAGCTCCCAGGGTCCCAGGTATCAGCTCCTTCAGGACCAGGAGGCTAAACAAGAGTCTACTGACATTGTTTCCCTCCTGTAAAAGGTGAGGACCTGGGTTCCACACTCAGCTTTGAAATTTTCTACCACCACAGATAATCTGAGATTATCTTTGACTTTGTTTCTTCATCTGAAGTGTAATAACATCTAGCTAGATGTCTCAGACTTATTAAAAGGAGAAATGAAGTGATGTGAATAAAGACACAGTGAGGATCCAGTGGCTCCGACCACTAAAATTTACCTCTGGGCAGCAGGTGAAGTGGAGAGAACGTAATCCCTTCCATCCTGATTCTCAACCGTGAAACAAGGGACATCGTACTCTTCTTCTGAACGTTCAGTGTGAACTTAGTCACCTGTGTTTGACTTTTAAAACTGTATTCTTACAAAGAACATGGTATCCTGGGTGTAGCTGAGCATCTGCAGTGGTATTTCATCTTCGCCATCCCTTTGTGAGACTGTCTAAAAAGAAATGAAGAAAATAAACTTTCAAAAGGGGCAGAGAATCCTTCCATCTTCTAAAACTTCAAAAAATGACTCAAATGAAATCAATAGGAAACAGCAGAGAATGGGTCTAGCTGGTCAGGCTAAGAGCCAGGGGAAAATTCTGGTTGTGAAATACGGTGGAAATCTCAGAATACCAGTATTACGTTTTGTCAGGTTCAGGAGACACGATTTGAAAACAAACAAAACAAAACAAAACAAAAAAACTTCATTGGACAGAAATACATGGATGGGGAGGCTTTAATAAGTTTGAAATACAGGCAAATCTGTAAGCAAAATAACTCTCTGGACCACCATAGAAAATATTTATTTTGAAGGCTCAGACATGCCTAAAGGGACCCTGAGATTAACCTGGAATTCCTCTGAGTGACTCATGGTTAGAAGCAGGTGTTTGTTTACATGAATCCAAGCAGAACACACACCAGAGAATCCTCTCGAAGCCCCAGAGGGAGTGACTCTTCTAGGATTTATATCCATCTGCTTCCAGAAAAGTGCTGGCAGGGCTATCTTTTACGTGTACAAATGAAATTGTTGACATGAAAATAGAGGACGTGAACCCTGAGGGAGTAGGTTGATCAATCCAAGTAGAAGTTTAAATATTTCTTAACAATGGAGGCCTTCAATCAAGTGGAGTCTTTGGAGTCTTCGGCAGAAGCCACAGAGAGAAGACAGTCAAGAGTCTGCCTTAGAGGGAGAGTGGGAAAGGGCAGAGGTCCTCTTGCTTGCCCATTGCCCAGGGCACTTTCCTGAGGCTCTACGGCTCTTGGGAGAACATTTTGGAAATCAAGGTTCTAGGTGATTATAGCTACTGTGATTGAAATTAACCCTGAGTTTCCTGCAAATCAGGATAAAAAGGGAAATACCATGGGTCACTTTTTCTTCCTTCAGTAAAAGAAAACAAAAGGTTTTTCAGTCTCTCTGCAACATTCTAATGTAATATAAGGAATGCTTTTTGGAGTGGCTGGAGGAGTGGACAGAGTGCATGGACTCAGATCATCATGTCCTTCAGAGTTAGATAATGATAATGGATATTTGTCTTTTTTTTTTTAATGCCCATTATTGGAACCCCTCCTTATGTTTAGGGAATTTATTTCCCACTGCATGAGCCTTGATGGAAAAGCTTCTCTCTATAGAAGCTGAGACAGCCAGGTACTCAGTTTTCCAGCCCCTCTCGCAGCTAACACATGGGCACACTAGGCCAACCAGATGCTCATCATAGAAAGATCAGTTTCCAGGGCAACAGGGCCAGCCAGCAGCATGGAGGATGGGGTTCTGGTGTGTCTGATGGGAAATCGTGTCGCCCCGGCCTCGTGAAAGTGACACTGCCCTCAGTGAACTAGCTCTGTGGGATGATTCCGGCTCTGGTTGTGATGTCCCCTTTTCTCACCTAGTTTCCAGGTTTCCCATCCATTCCCTAAGCTACCCATCATTCTTCCAGTAAATTCCTTTCCAGATGAAATCAGCCAGAATCCATGTGTTACTTGCAACCAGTTAGATTCCACATCAAAATGGTAACATGTGAGGCTTAGGTCTGCTGTGGGAAATACAAAAGATAGTATTGTGCAGTCACAGAATACTTGTATTTGACTTAAGAGAATTCAGCTATATGGGTTTGTTGCACAAGAGCATGAGAGAAAAGTAAGACTCTGTTATTTGCTCAGTTATCGTTGCCTCTTCAAACCCCACCAAGGCCTGTGCTGTCCCATAGTAAGGCAGCCTTGGCCAAAATGCAAAGAGACACATAAGAATTAAATCTTAGGTTTGAGTTTCAAAAGACCCAGGTTTTAGCGACTTAAAAATAAGTTCAGAAGTCTTCAGGGGTCCTTCTGACTTCCATATCTGCCTTTTGGCCATGCTTGCTGACTTTACAACCTAATCCCTTCCTAAGATGAGGCTCCACTGTACACAGCAATAGTGAGCACTCCACAGGGACTGGTACCCACCCCTTTCCACACACCCCTCAGCAGCTCTGCTCTCCCCCTTGTCCTGGGTGACCCAGGGAACTAGTACTGATTTAGAGCATTGACCTGAAGAAGGTCTATTAAGACCGATATCCTGGAGGTATTTCAAATCCAGTTCCAAAGAGAAAAATTATATTTTATAGATGCCTTTGTATCTTCTTCACTCCCAATTCAACGGCTCACATCTGTTTCCATTAGAGATAGAGAAAAGAGAAGAGAGTGGGGAAGATAGAGTGGGAGGGGAAGGGAGGGGGTGGGAAGGATGGAAGAGGTCATCTATTTTGTTTCACATCAGGGTTTCTGTCTTAATCTGTTCAGGCTATGATAACAAAATACCACAGACTGGGTGACTTACAGACAACAGAAATTTATTTCTCACAGTTCTGGAGGCTGGAAGTTGGAAATCACGTTGCCAGCAGCTTCAGTTCTGGTGAGAGCCCTCTTCAAGTTTGCAGACTGCCAACTTCTCGTTGCATCCTCACATGGTGGGAGAAAAGTGAGAGAACTCTCTGGGGTCCTTTTATAAGAGCACTAATCCCATTCATGAAGGCTCCACCCTTATGACCTAATTACCCCCCCCCAAAGGCTAGTACATTGCTAATACATTGGGTGTTAAGACTTCAACATATGAATTTGGGGAGGGACACAAAAATTCAGTTCCCCGTACTGGCATCTTGTGATCATATACACCTCCAACTAGAACAGTAAACATTTTTAATTCACCTGGATACTCTAGATTTGAAGATGCCGATACCACTTTAAATCCATAACTATCCTCCCCAAATATTAAGACCTATGCTTCAAAATTGTGTGCACAGAAATTACATAAAACCCGCACAGTAATTGGGAAAAAGGAGGTTACTTTTTTTTTTTTGAAAAAAAGCTCTTTTAACTCAGGAATTGGCAAACAATGGGCTTGTAGGCCAACTCCACCCTCCTGCCTCAGTAAATAAAAATTTGAAACACAGTCATGCCCGTTCATTTATGTATCGTCTATGGTTGCTTTTTTGCTATGGCAAAGCCTTAAGAATTTTGTCTGGCCCTTTACAAAAAAAAAAAAGTTTGTCTACCCTGCTCTGGATAACAGGGAAAGCCTGAGGCTTCTAGAACAGGGCCACCTGAAGTGTGGTCTGTGCCTGCTACTGGCCTATGGAATGTCTCTCACTGAAATTTGAGAGTGTTTAAAATCTTCTATAGCATTTTGACACTGTGAAGACATCCAAGTGTGTGACTATTTTTCTAGTAATTTTTATTTTATTTTTCAAGTGTTCATGAAGGATTAGAAGTAACAAAAGATTCTAAAAGTCACAATTTTTCTGTTAGAAAAATATGAGATAATTTGGTACCCCTCATAATAACTTTAGGCCTCGACAGATAACAAAATTCACCCTAGAGGTTTCATCCATGGCATAGATTTTGCCTTGAAGAATGAAGTGCAGCTGAGGGAGGTAGAACCAGCTTTAAATTTTTTTTTTTTTTGTCCGACAAGCTAGGTTCCCAGTGAAGCTTTCTCTAATCTTGTTCCTATATTAAGGTCTTAATATCCAAGATACATTTATTTCTAAGTAATGTACAATTGTATACAGAACATTTTCTATATGTAGGTGTAGTGCTAGGGAATTAAAATACAGCCCAAGGCCTCTAGAAGCTTCTAGGTAAAAGAGCTAAGGTGATTATCAAAATACAAGTCATTGGAGTTTGTGGGAGGTAGCTATAAAGAGCCTAGTGTGGGTTGGTACATAAATCCATATATTCATGAATGCCATTCGAATATATCCATCTCCCTTCTGTTAAATGCCCTTCAACCTAAGTGAATAATGCAACCTGTTGAGACCTTCAAAGGAAGGTGACTGTGTATGGGAAAGTGATTGGAGAGCCACGCTGAGATGCCAGTGCCGGACAGCTCTCTGCAAGGGGCTGGCTTCCACGGGCCAACAGGTAAAGGTGGAGTAAGCAGGGGGAGATTTTCAGACTTCAGTGCTTATATAGGAAATAATGGCTGAAAATAAATGAGAAATGACAAAAAGGAGAAACTAAGTAGAAGGCAAGAGTATCTTATATACAGTATCCAAAAAGTTGAGAAACAGTCAACTTAAACAATACATCAGTTCTGTTTTCAAGAAATGTGGACAATGCCTTTTCAGATAAAGTACCTCAGAATTTAAGCCATGGATCCAATTGTTAATCTGAAAAAAGAACAGTAAATATATAATTTATCGTGTTTCCAGAATTTTTTGGGTCCTCTATAGTTAAACTGTCTAGTACAGTAGTCACGAGGCATGTGTAGCTGTTTAAAGTAATTACTAGAGAGTGAAGAAATGGAACACCATCAAGAGAGCGGGAAGTTCTACTGGACAGCACTGCTTTATAAAGTGTGTATTTTTTTCCCCCAGATTACTAGTTGGGCTCACTGAATTCAGTTACTTTATTTGAAAAGGTGTTTGGAAAGTGAACAAAAACATACTGACCTTGTAATTTCAAACTATAAAACACTGTTTAAAAATAAGTTTATCCTGGGATGAGGGGTATAGCTCAAGGGTAATGTGCCTGCTTGGTGTGTATGGGGTCCTGGGTTCAATCCCCAGTGTCTCTGCTAAGGGGGAAAAAAGAAAAAAATAAGTTTATCCTAAGTTTCACAACTTTTTAACACTCTGTAAATATATAATCAACTTTTTAAAGGCTAACTTTTCATAGTAAACAACTTACTGTTACTAGGGGAAAAGGGGTGGGAAGGAATAAATTGAGTTTGAGATTTGCAAGTATTAACCACTGTATATAAAATAAACGACATTCCTTATGTACTAGCACAGGGAACTATATTCATTATCTTGCAGTAGCCTATAATGGAAAAGAATATGAAAACAAATATACGTACATATATGTATGACTGAAACATTATGCCATATACCAGATATTGACACATTGTAAACTGACTATACTTCAATAAAAAGATTGATTTTTATTTTTATCAGGATATACCTAGCATAATTTAAAGAATTATTCAACAAGACAGAGAAAGAAAAAGAAATATTAGTTTGTTCCCATTACATCCCATTTTCCACTCTTTAAAAGTGAGCAACTTCATGAAAAAAAAAGTCAGTGAAGGGCCACAAATGGCAATTCTTATGGGTGAGTTGTATTCCGTTACATATATATGCTGCATCTTCTTTATCCATTCATCTGTTGATGTGCACTTAGGATGCTTCCATATCTTGGCAATTATAAATAATGTTGCTGTTAATAGCAGGGTGTACGTATCTCTTTGAATTAATTCTTACTGTGTGGTTGCCTTTATTCCTTTGATAACTATGGAAGTTTGAAAAGCTAATGCTCTAAACATTCTTAGAAACATTACATACATGTAAATTTTAAGAAATGTGTAGTATATTGTGTATATGTATTTACATGCAATATATTGTATATGTGCAGTCAAATTGTAACAATTCTACCTAATAAGACTAAAAAATGAAATTAAAAAAAAGAATTAAAAACAAAAGTGAGCAACTTCAGCCCTTTCAGTTATTTCACATGTACCTCCCTATCTCCACTGGAGATGCTCATACTGCTGCTTCTTATGTTTTCAGATTAAGAATCTACCTGTTCATTTCCCACTAATGGAAGATGAGCATTTCTCTTCTAAACTCTCCCTTCTATTGCTGCCCCATGCACACTTCCCATCTCCTCATCCTTCCAATAAATGTATTTTGCTTTATAAAACTTCAGTGCAGTAATCCTTGTGACCGCATAAATGATATTCAGAGCTGAGCTATACAGAACACAATTTGCCTTATGTGAGCGTGTACAAGTAGATATAAGGCTTGATGAATTTTCACAAAGTGAGCACCCTACACAACCATCACCCAGATCTAGAAACAGGACATTCAGACAGAAGCACCCAACAACCTTCATGACCTTCTTGTCACCTCCCTGTCCTCAAGAACTACGCTGACCATTTTTGCTCTAGTTTTGCCTGTTATTAAACTTTATATAGAATCATACAATATATACTCATTTTTGTCTGCTTTCTTCTGCTTTCTAGTTTGAGATCAAAGTTTAGGTTATTGATCTTTCTTATCTATGTATTTATAAAGCTATAATCTTTTGATAGCATTAGCTAGCTTCATCCAGTAAATTTTTACATGTTGTGCATTACCATTCACTTCAACATAGCTTTCCATTGTGGTATTTTTGTATTTTTAAAATATTTTTTTCTCCACTATGTTGTGATGAATGTGTTCTTTATACCAATCCTTAGAAACCTGTTGAAGACATTTTATTTATCTTGGACAACAGCTGCAGTTGAGGTCATTATCTGATTCGTTTATGATAATACAGTCATTTCCCAAGAGCCATCACATTTCTGTATAGTCTGAACAAATAATGATAGGAGCCTTTAGCCTGAATCTTTCAGGATTTTTAATGATGGCACTTGGCAATCTCCCCAGATACAGCATTGATTCGGTTTACCATTCTGGCTTCTACGTGGCCCTTGATACTGTCAAGGAGCCAAAGTGGGGATTCTGTCAGTGGTCAAGTATGTCTCTCCCAAGTATACACTCAGGAACAGAGCAAGTTAAGCAAAGGGTAGGTCCAAGGACTGAGCTGCCTGTGACACAAGCTAGGGCTCAACCTCCACGTATGACCTGACACAAAAGGAAGCCAACTGTCAAAGAAACATTAAGTCCCAGCCATATCACTAAGAGCAAGAAGGTGAATTTGGAGTAAAGAGACAACAGGGATGACAGCAAAGTCACAGACTTCGTCAGATCGCACAGTTCACCAGTTGTGACTAACCTATGCTTAACGTGTCCGCTAAGTTGTAAATTTCAGTTTTTCATCATTAGAAAGAAATTCTATTTTGATAATTCTTAAATCTGCCTGACTTTTATAGAATCTTGTTATTTTAGCATTTTTGACACTATTTCTTCACCCATATTAAACAGTCATTTCGGATTCTGTACCTGGTAATCCCCGTCTGTGTCATCTTTGTAGAGCTTATTCTGTAATGTACTGCTAACTCTTGCTTACGATAGCATCTCTTTTTATAGGGTAGATTTATTTCCTAGCTCAGTCTCTGAAGGTCAGTTTGGTTCTCCTCTATCAGCTTCCACCCATTTTCCGAGGAAGAGGGGAAGAGGAAAAGGCTAGCCCTTTCACCAGGAAAGCAAATCTGTCCTCATAAATCCCAAGCAGACTCCTCTTAAATCTCTCTGATCAGAACCCGGTTACATGGCCGGCCCTAACTGCAAGCCTTTTAGCCCCCCTATTTGAGAGCCCTGGAGATGGTGTTGACAGAGCAACTGTGAACTCCTGCACACGGCAGAGACAGG